TCAAATGGAAGCAATGCCGTGTTTCGTCTGATGAATGTGGTGCCGGAGGCCTAATTTAAGTCCCTTTCTCTTTACCACCCTTTTCTTATAAGGGAAGGATGGGAAGGGGAAGTGGATTTGACCGCGAAGGAGATTCATAGGAAGGGACAATATCCTCTTTATGTGCGTCTCCTCCTCCGTCGGATAAGGGTAGGCAACGCATCTGCGATCGCGGATGTCTATGGGCAGCGATCGCTTCGCCATTTTGGCGGATTCAGGTGGCCGCTTGCTCGTTTGTCACCTTATGATATAAAAAAAATACAAATCTCTTTACAAATACAGTTTGCAATCTGTTTTTGTATAATGTACAGTTAGGAAAATTGGTGGTGGTATAAATGTTAGTTGAAAGTTTTTTTAGATGTCACGGAACAATCTAATCGTAAGCAACAATTTTGCAATTATTCTTAATAAACTTGATAAATACTTTGTGTGTAAATTTTAAAGTAACATTAAAAAGGATTGTAGATTTTGTTTGTCTTTAATCGTAGTCATTTATCTTAATACTAATATTATAATGAGTAAAGATATTTATTTTTGTATGTATTATAACTTAGAAAATACTAGGCCGATTTCAAATATACTTTAACTAAGCTGTATTTTTAAATATTTTTTTTAATTTAACGAGGACGAAGTTCACAAGTTTAATATTTAATATTATTTATTCAATATAATAATTATTTAATAAAATTTACTAAACGTAAATCTACATACAATATTTTACGTTGAAAGCAACAAATTATCTATAGTATTATAATAAAGCGTAAACAAATACTTCTTTGTTGTCTAAGATGTCCGCAATTACACCATATTTTTAAACAATTCTTTTTTTAATAAAAAGCCCTACACTTCCGTCACGCTTTAGGCTATATATTTTCACGCCAATAAACTTAGGGGGTAAATATTTTGGATAAAAACCCTAATGTGGGAAGAGACCATATATTGCTGCCAACATCAAGGAAGCAATAGTCATTTGTGAATTTGAATTTTGACATTTAATGCGGATGAAGCCGCACTGGAACAGCTAGTCTTAAATAAGAGGTAATTTTAATGAACAACACTCACTCTCCCATTCGTATCGGTACCGCGGATTAAAGAAGTAGTGGCACATCTCGCGCGCAGACACGCCGCGCACTTTGTGCATCGCCTTCAGCGGGTCCATCACCATGCCGTCCACCTCCATCTCCCTGGAAAGTACACACACAATACTGTAATAAACTGATATAAAGTCACATAAAGAACACAAATAATTCAAATTTCACTAATATTATAAATGCGAAAGTATAGATGGATGAATGTTAGAGTTTGTAGCCTAAATAACAGAAGGGATCACGAAGAAATTTGACATAGAATGCATAGGCTACTTAATTTTTTTTTTTTACTCCATACGGACGGTGTCGCGGGCAAAAGCTAGTCGGATTATAAATCTCAACTTAATCATTAAAAAAACATCTTTTTGAAGTCTTTTAAAACTGACATATTGCGGGAAAATATGGAACTAGTTTCAATGCGTACAGTACAATGTGTTGTAATACGATAGAAGCTTCTAGGCCTAGCATTCATTTTATGGTATACTATTACTTACGCTACATAAAGATATGGCTTTTCATATGTTCAAGAAAAATAAAAAGATCAATACTAACTTCTTCATTAATAAACACAAAAAATGATAAACATATATAATTTTTTTACTTAACCTTTGAAACAAGTTATTTACAAACACAACTTTAATTAATGTACATAAGAATGGTACCCTCCACCATAATGTTAAAACGTACATATGTACAATAGTACATAATGGATCATGGCTTCCCATATTACAATCCGAATCTTACCTGTGTAGTTTATTACTACGAGGCCTGCAACAGTAGTATTGGGAAGAGCAATAAAAAATTAAGACATAACATCTTCCAATATTTGTATCAATCTTATACTAAAACTAGTATTACATTCCAAACTCACCTACATCTGTAATCACTAGACATTACATTAAAACTACTTATAAATTCAAGGTTAAAAACCTCACCTCCTGTACATCCTCATATCGCCCTCCTCTGCGAACAGCTGCCAGCCGATACCTCCTCCTACTTCCTCGAACGCTGCCTGTATCTGCTCCGTTGATATTCTGTTTATCTGTAAATTGTATAAAATAACATATTAAAATGCTGCGTAAGTTTATATATAATGTACTAGCTTTCGCCAGCGACTCCGTCCGCGTGCAATTAAAAGAAACAAAAGTGAGTAGCCTATGTGTTCTTACAGACTATCCTCTGTGTCTATGCCAAATTTCATCTAGATTCGTTCAGCCGTTTAGGCTACAAACTCTAACAAACATCCATCCATTTAAACTTGTGCATTTCTAATATTATTAAGAAGTAAGATGTGAGAGTGGCTTATAACTCGCTTAAAGGCCATTAAGTGGACATTTTGCATAAAATATTTACAAGAACAATAACAGTAAACATTTTTGACATAATCACACTAACGCTATATATGTAGATACTATTGATAAATGTTTATATTTTATTTTGAAACACTGTTTAGTTTATTTTCTAACATAAGGCGATTATTATAATTTTGTAAAATATTTTATTAATCAACGACGTAGTGGCAATAATCTTGGCAAGTGATATAGTACGTTTCAGAGAAAGTAACGGTGAAAAACTTTATTCAATACCTCGTCTATAGTTTTCTATGTCTTTGGAACATCAACAATATAATAAACTAACCTCCGGCCATAGTGGGTGCACTGTGAGGCGGTTGTCGAGCGCTGGTGGCGGCAACTCCACCTGGTCGCGGGTACGCTCCGCGGGCGGAACAACGCGAGCGCACCGCTCTTCCTCCATCTTATCGAAGCCAGTCTCCACCGCATCGTAGAACTCGTCGTCCGGCAACGTTGAATGCGGCCCTTCCTTGAAAACACATTAAATATAAAAAATATAGCCGTAACAAACATTTCTCTATATATCTTCCACTTCATGACCACACAGAAGACAGGCGTGAAGTGGAAGCAATTCCGCGTTTCGTCTGATGAGTGTGGTGCCGGAGGCCTAACTTTAATGCCTTTCCCTTTCCACCCTTTTCTTAAGAGAAGAGGATTGGAAGGAAAAGTGGATTTGACGGTGGAGGAGACGCATAGGAAGGGGAAATGTCCTCTTTATGTGCGTCTTCATCTCCGTCAATTAAGGGTAGGCAACGCATCTGCAATTGCCGATGTTTATGGGCAGCGGTCGCTTTCCATTTCGATGGATACAGGTGGCCGCTTGCTCGTTTGCCACCTTATATTATATAAAAAAAAATATCATCATCTTTCTCTTTATCCCCTACTCTTTACCCGTACGGTTTGAGCAACAGGTTTTTGTCCTCCACATAACTTTATCATACGTCATCTCAGTCAACATTCCTTTACTATGTCTACTTTCACTCAATCCATCCATCTCTAAGTTCACCTTTACCACTCTATACTATAATTGTAAATAAGAAAGATTGGAATTTTTATATGTATGGAAATAACTCGAAAAGTACTTGGCCAATTACATTTCTTTCACCGTTTTAATGCTACATGATTACTGAATAACATAGGCGGTATTTTTGTAATTTTATATTTTTATGCGGACGAAGTCGCGAGCAACGGCTAGTTTGTAATATTATCCGTAAGAATACAGTCAGCTTTATCTTAATCAATTCGCTTCGCAAGCGCCGACGTTAAATTTTAATAAAATTTGGAGTTTAATGCGCTAGTAACTACTTAAATGTCGTTTCAGTATTTGGCTGTTAGTGTTAGGTCAAATAAGGTGTTTCAGATAGGAT